GTGCGAACACCTCTCCGCGCAAGTACTTCGAACAGAATCGATCGATCGACTGAATCGAACGCACTCTTGAAATCGAGGTACACAGCTAGTGTCGGTCTGCGGTATGCGTGGCGCTGCTCTAGCACCTGCCGCAAAGTGAATATATGGTCTATACAGCCACGCCCTGGGCGGAAATCTGCCTACTTTTCCCTGTTACGAGAATTCCGTTCCACAGTGAGGCGACGAACGATAATCGAGGCCAGTAATTTTGTCACAACTGGCGTTAGGCTAATACCCCTGTGGTTCGCACAGTCTGTGCGACTGCCCTTCTTGTATATTGCCACTATAATCGATTCGCTCCAATTAGCCGGCACACACTTTTCCTTCCAGATACGTTCGAATAGGGAGGTCAGTGCTTTGCAGAGGACCTCACCTCCATCCTTAAATAGTGCAGGTGGGAGGGAATCCGGGCCAGCGGCACGAAAACGATTGAGGGCTGTGATCGCGTTTCGGACCTCGGCCTCCGACGGAGGCTCTAAACTAACCGTCCATGGCTCGTCCTGCATCACCTGAGTAGAAGAGGTCCGGGAGCAGGGGGCCAGCTGAACTGATCTTGAAAGTGTTCCGCCCAGCGAGCCATACGGCGCTCCTTATTGTGTATCAGTGCACCTGCGCTGTCTCTGATTGTCTCACTGACGCCTGGTTTTCTGGGACCAGTGGTGCGGATTAGCTGGAAGAGCTTGTGGTAATTGCCTACTGCTCCTGCCTCCTCCATTTCTTGAGCCCGACTGGTCCACCAGGCTTCCTTGTCAGCACGTAGGCTCCGCTTTAGTTCGCGCCTAATAGCCCGTCTGGTCACATTGTGCTCAGAACCAGCCGGGAGGTTTCTTCTGGATTCCAACAGGTTCACCGACCTCTCGGATATCCAGTGACTGGTGCGGTGACGATTGATAGTGCCACAAGCAGATGCTCCTGCGTCGTGCACGGCTGCCGAGATCCTATTCCACTGAAGCTCAGTGTCATTAGGACAAGACAGCGGAAGTTTGGCATGCAATGCATTTTCATAGGATTGCCTGACCGAGGGCTGAGACAATTTCTTCTTTGCCAATCGTATGAGGACGATTGGTGCGCCTCCCGGAAAAAGTTCATGGAGAAACGGCAACGTACCAAGGCATGATCAGAGCCGACGCAGGTATTCCAGTACGAACGGCAATCCAGGATGGAACACCGCCACCTGTGACTTATGGCTAGGCGGTCAATTTGGGTCCATCGCTGGCCAGCTACAGGAGGACGCCAAGTGGCACTTCGGCGCCCACTGTATCTAAAAGCTGTGCTACTAAGAAACAACTGGTGCTTCGCACACAGTTGCAGTAGACGCTCGCCGTTGCCAGTCCGTTCGGAGTTAAGCCAATAAGTACCACCCAGCTAAGCGTCTGAAGAGCTCAGACGCCCTACATATGCGTTCATATCCCCTGCAAGTACTATAATATCTGAACTAGTAGCACTGCGTAGTAGCGCGTTCAGTTCGTCATAGCATGTGTCCTTGACAACATCTGAACTGCAGTCGGTGGGAGCATAAGCGGAAATCACAAACAAACCGCTTTCTGTACTACTTCGTGAATCAACCTTATCTGATGTCGTCAAACGGGTTGCACATAAACGGCTGTTCACCGGAATCCAATCAACCAACGATGGCTCAGCCTTGGAGCTTAGAATGATACCTACACCAGCTTGACCCGTGAGTGCTGCATCGGCGTCTCCGGATGCGTGCAATCAATAACGAGAAGATAAGCCGGGTGCAGTTAATTCAATAACCCCGTTAGGGTCATTGATCATAGTTTCGGACATACAGCGCACATCAATACCCAGTGTGTCCAAGGTGCGTGCGGGTGCAGACTGTTGACCCATTTGTTTTAGAGTGCGAACGTTGAATGCCGCCATGGAAACGGGACAGCGTGATCTTATAACGGCTTTTTGCCGGTAGGTGCGGTGGGATGGTGGCTGCAGATGGTTCTACTCCAGTGGCACTTCGGTTGCTGTCAATTAAGCTGGGAATTATAGAAGGAAGGTTAGTAATGGGGGTCGGGATGGGAGTAAGAGAAACAGGTGGAAAAGAAAGAAGGGCGGTACCAGCAGTAGCATGTTTTCGCTTATCCGCCCTGCTGTATGCAGCAGATAAGGCGACCCTTGATAATCTGCGCGACGGCCGATGCAGGATGAAGTTTATGTTTGAAGAAAATGTCATGGTTGTATGTGGGCTGAGATACTGCCAGGGCGCCCAGACCTAGACAGGAGGACGATTAGGGTCCTCATCCAAAGCCTTTGGCTCATAAGCCTGTCCGCAAGGCAGCGTGATGGTGGCAATGATTTAGTTTTACAGAAATGGACGCCATCCCATTTCAAACCCCCAATCTGGAGGACCAGGAGACTGAGTTTGTCTGACCTCTCACCATTGACCAACCTGGTAGGAGTAGCTCTCAAGGTGCCCGGAGGCATCACCCAGTATAGCTCAATGGGTCAATGAGGTACGCAAACCGTCGCACCACGTTAAGGTCCAGTCTCGTTGCGACGTGGAACAAACTGGAAGTAGACTTGGCACAACGCTACACGAACACAGCCTAGCCATTCGTCGGCATCATCAGAACTCCCCGATTTCTACATATGGATGGCGAAAACCACCAGTTCGAACTGGAGAACGCCAACCTCCTCGGGAGGGCCAAAAGCCGGCAAGCACCTGAGTTCTTTGAAGTCTGGTGTTCAAAACAGAACAACCAACAAGCACTTGGACCTCTAAGTCGCTTACGAGGAACTGATAACCACGTCCCTGTAGCCGTACTGATGATGTCGCCTAGTCTGGCTACGAAACGTCTGCAAAATAATCACTCAGATCGGACAACAACTGAAAACTCACTATCACACCCCTAGCTACGGATATTATCAACTATTTCGAACCATTGTTACCCTATTTCCAAACGTCAAGAATCGGTCCATACAGCATGCGATCTTACGGAACCATTGGCATTCCAGATTCTGCGGAAAATATATATGAAATTCAGCTATCGCATGCTGACTAATTCGGTTTCCCGAGTATACTTACTGAGTTGCTTGATGTTGATCATTACTTATATATGGCGTTGCCAATTTAATGTGACGCCCATCACTATACTATGGGTGCCCTCAGTCCACAATTGTCGTTGTCCCACTTGCTTTCTTCGCTCCAACATGTGTATATTTTTACGCTATTTAGTATGAGTACTACTTTTTGTCATGAGCCTCTGAACTACACAGGCTGATAGTCTAGCTCATTTTGCTCATCTTTGTGACTTTGCCGATAGAGTATTTCCTCAATGCAGCTGCTTGATAAACTCCAGCAATTCGATGTTGCTGGAAAACGTTGTTAGGCATCGCAGCCTATTGACCATCTTCCTGTGACTGAAGGGTAGTGAACGTTTCTCCATTTTCACGATCTTGGTAACGGCGCAGCGAATTTTTTACTATTCTTCTTCTTTCCCGAAAACGCCACATATGGTAATCCACTCGATACACTTCGACAAATCGGCTGAGGTGCATTCTGGTATGTACCTAACGTGCTGATCGTGAAGCACGGCAGCAGGAAACCATATCGTTATCTTTTCTCACCTCTGGGTGCAGTGGTCCCTCCACCGGATACCATAAGACATGCAACACTCTTCCTCTACCATTAAACTCGTCTTAAAAAGTATTTACATGACAGTATCGTATTGATTTGCTGCCATGCAGGCCTATTGTGAGTGATCGTACTATTTGCTTTATTCAAATGAGTAGCTGAAAGTACTTCATTCAGTGGGCACCGTTTTTGATTTGAGACATTTGTGTTCTCGTCAGTAAACATTTATAATGAAGTGATGTTTGATATGCCTGGTGCCTTAGACAAAGATCAACCACAAACGAAAACTCGCACCTATCCTATCGTCTGAGTCTGAACCCCACACACTCATTGATACAGACACCGCACATCAAGAGTAAGGCTATGCAATCCACTTCTTGCGCTTTTATAGTTCTCAGTGGACTATGCATTTTCGTTTTGGTACACGCAAATTCCTACCATTATATCATCATCAATATTAATGGTGGTATTATTAATCGTTTGTTAAGTTGTTGTTGTTGTGGCCGTTGTTGTTGTTTACTTTATGGATGGTAGTGGTCATGGTTTTATGTCCATATTTTCGGATAGTTGGCACTTCGCCAGTCGGTTCATTCAATTGATATGTGCGTTTCATTGGGCGACAACTCATTGTTCAGTGTACTCCTACCTTCGGGCCCTCGCTCTGTGGCTGCTCAAGTTTCACCCTATATTCATTCCATGATTGGATTTGATCGCCACACTTGGTTCCATCATTATTACTCATAACCATTTGGCATACAGTATCGCCATCTACAACTTGTTTTTAAAACTTTCTCATGCTAAGCTTACCGCAGCACAGTACAAGTCGCGTTATTCCTTTATACTCTCCTAATTTCTTTCACTTGCCTGCTGGTCGTTGAAACGTGGAGCTACATGGATTTGCTTACCATCTTCCGTTTGACTGGTTTTTAGCCGAATTAGCTTCCACAATGGAGAGCTCATCTCATTGGATTGTGTAAATCCTTGACATTTATATTGATGGTAGACCGCTGTTGCTTTCCCCGGGTTGCAGTAGTCTTTAATCTCTACTCTCCTTATTCTCTTTCACCACTGTAGGCGGTTAATATATAAATTTTCACAAATACCCGTCGCAATTTTCACCTTCAGCTCTGTCTCTACTCGAGTACTATCCTGAAAGCAATCCGCATTATCTCCTGTTAGGATAATCAACCTTCTATACCTTATCGATCACATCTTCCTTGTACTCTTTCTAAACCGGTCAACCATACACAGTTCTTTTAATTTTCTATTTTTTCAACCGAGCGCATTTCTCTTCGGTTACTTATAGTTCAGACCGCTTGATTTGTAGCTTTTCATTGGATCCCATTCCGGCCGATAATAATTCAAAGGAATATTGTGTCAAAGATACTTTACATATTAAGTTGAGCTTTGCTTATACATAGTTTCACTGTCCGCTTAGGTCTAGCGAATGTTCAGAGGGGACTTGATGTTCTTCAGTGAGAGCCAGCACAGATCTTCTATCTCTGCTCTCTCGACTTGGCGTCGGTAGATCGGCCAAGGTGGGAGGGAAGTGCACTATTGTAGATGCTCTTCTTGCTTTGGTTCTCTCAAATAGATTCGAAGATCGCCTCGAATGTAGGGATGGCCCTCGGTGTGTGCTTTAAGGAAAGTAGAACGCACTAAAATATTACAAGGGAACTGGAACGGAATCAGTAGAGAAAATTATCCAAACTGGTATATCTAAGACAGAAGGCAATCAGGGTCATCAGTAAGTAAACGATGGTCACACTGCGGTGGATGAGTATTTCTTAGTGAATTGCATTCCTATTTTCATTTATTACTTGCGGCTATTTATAGCGGAGACAATGCAACCAATTGGACAGGTGATAATGTCTAAACTAATGAAGCCGCGATAAAAAAGCAAAACAGGTACAGTTGCAACACAAATCAACTATTCTGCTGTTGTTCGCTAAATAAAGTCAACAGATGACACTAAACAGTATTGCTTTGTACAACGAGGTCTGTGCAGCACAACTGAGGGATCAAACTGAGCTCTGAAGATCACCCCAGCACCAATTTTCAAGTCCGCATAGCGTTCCGAAAAAGTCAGCAAACCTGAAATTCATTAGTCACTGCTTGACTGCAAATACGCTTTCTCGCACTGAAAGCTGTCTAAAGACCCAGCGAGGACGGGATTCTGATATTCCACTGTCTGCTACCTTCAGCTTCTCCTTTGTGTTTCGTAATGCGACTATACTGGGATCTTTTCCAGTTAAGCCCCGCCAAAAAGTTAAGCCCCGCCACCCAAAAAAGATTATGAAAAGGGAGGATATGGAACTTGAACTTTTACTCTCTATTGAAGAGGGTGAAATTGAGACAAGTCATTAATAATTTGCATGAAAAGGTCCATTTTCGGTGTTTTTGCCTCCAAACGAACTCACACAGGTAGCTGTCCACTAAAGATCGGTGTGTGCCGCATTGGCGCTTATTCTGCATCTTGTAAATGTGCCAGAGAGATTCGATGGTTTGTGTGTGATCTCCAGTCGTTGGATCCACAAAGTTTTCGGTATGATTAACCGTTTGATGAGTATAACTCATGCCAATCATCGATTCAATGCATTGGTATGATGCCCACATATCGGAAATGATAATTGAGCCGGGAGCGATGCAGGCCTGGATTGTGTCCAGCAGAGTGGCCGCAGTTCGATCTGGCACTGCATACAAAACACTTCTTTAGTCTCCCGGCAAATCCCTCCGAAAATCCACTGCTGGCGAAGGACTCGCCCTGCATGGTTTTTACGATGTGATATTAAGGTTTCATCGATTTCAACATGTAGACCTGGGCCGCCGACAATCGTTGGAGTCTGCAAAAGCTGCCAGGCGCAAATTTCACACAAAAAGTTCTTCCAGTCGACAGCGGTCGCGTGGCCAATAGATAACTCCTCTGAGCAGAATTTGATTGTTGTCAGATTTTTGGACCAGCAATAAATGAATAGGATTATTGTCCTGAAATCCATCCTAGACCGCTGCAGCCAAGTTCCCTTTCGAAGATCGATTTCTTGCCGACGCTGTCGGGCATCACACCTCCACCTGTCAGAAACAGTTGAAAGTGTCATTTGGTGTCCTCGTCTGCATAAACGTTGATGATGAATCACTCTATGGCTTTTCAAAAGACGTATTGCTGTTTCCTTGTCATGTACGACCGCCGAAAGCGTCAGAAAGTTCATGTCAGGTTTTACGTGCGAACGTAGAAACTTTTTAGACAAAAATGACCTTAGAAGCGGATAAGGAGTGTTTTTATGGGGCACGTTCACATGCATTACGTACACTGGAGCTGGCAAACAGTGGCGGGGTTCAACTTTTCACGCGTGCCCTCTTTGCACTATTGGTGCTGTTTGACTTTTCAGGTGTACCCTTTTTGCCTTAGTGGCGGGGCTTAACTGGAAAAGATCCCTTATACTGGGCCATATGGAACTTTGGAACTTCAGATAGGATGGCTGCATTGGCCACCCCGTCCTGACTTCATGCCCGTTATATACCCTGTGAATATCGGCACTATTTTTGTAGGGTAACATAACACTAGTGAAAGTAAGATCTCAGCAAGAAAAGTCGAAACAAGGTCTTTGATATGAGGCCGATATAGTTATGTCAAAATCTGCGCGTGTGGAGCTAAGGCAAAGTTTTGGAATGCAATAGTGGCTCGTAGCCGAAACAACACAAGTTGACAGCACACACCGCGTATTTTAACAAGCACTATGCACAGCGCATCGATCATGTAGATGAGAACAGCTCTCCATTGAGTGGGTGAGTAACAGACCTTCATGCGCACACGTATGGACAGTCAATGCTGGGTACGTGAACATCTGACTGGCAGTGGTGATTCATACGCCACATTCATCCTCTTTTTACGTAGCAACTCCCCAGGCAGCCTGGTAACGATGAACTGGACGGCGTACTCAAGCTGAAGGGCGAACTTTTTTGGCTCCCTTTGGGCTGGATTCTCTGTGCTCACAACGATTGCTTGTGGACCACAGTGGCAACGGGTCATCTGCCTCGGTGAAACAGAACGATGGCGGAAGTGGTCCATTGGGTGGGGGAGGTAAACACCCTGCGGTCTGTAGCGCGACCTCTGCTGTTTGGCCTTCAAATTCGACTAACTCTTCAAGCTGCCGATTCGGTTCTTGGGGCAGCTTGATGTAAACGTGCTGCTCCTCACGTCTTTGTCAATCTGATAACTTTTATTCGTACCACGTTTTGGATTTCTCTTGTTGAACTTCGTCGCGTAGTCTCTGCTCAGAAAAGAGAAGGTCTAGCCGCATCCTCATCCTCCGGCAGAACATCGGTTCGCCTCGACTCTTACCCGTCATTTCATTCGATAAGGGGCGTTAAGCGGATAAACAATCTTCCAGCTTCGTTTGGAGCATAACGGGTAATCCACTTTTTACTGGCTGGGCTGCTATTTCTGTTGAGCTGAGCTGTGAAATTACCGACGTTGAGATCACTCTACCCGGTATGTCATTTCTTCGGAACCACTGAACGGCTATGTGAGGGAGAGTGGTCATCTAGTACAAAACAAACCTTAGCTGTGAGCTCATAGATGATCCCCAAACGTGTGTCACTGATCCTATTTGATGCAAACTGTGTTTGAATGCCAACGACAAATGCTCTTTTTCCGTAGTTTACCGACCGACCAAATCCAATCCGGAGTTGGGTCATAGACTATCGCATTTCGTATTGTGCTAAATTAGAAGTACACCCATATCCTCTACAGGAGATTTCGACATCCATGATCTGGAAACTTCAGCAACCGACGGAGAACAGTTCAAAGTCTATTTGCAAGAGCTAAGCACTCGCATCCCCTATGTAACAACTTCCACACTCCCACTAGGTTCAGCACAGTGACTAAGCCATCATTGTTAGATCCAGTGTACACCAACGAAGAGCGCAAGCTTGATGGGCTAAGTGTGTACAGTCTTTTTGGTCCAGGTAATCACGTGACCTTACTGTTCGGTTACATTTGCTACACCGATTGCCCTGATGCAGAGCCCGAAAGGATGCAATCTATCACGCATTACCACCTATTGTCCGCATTCGTTTAAAACGCTAGTTAGATATTCATGATTGGATGCACCCCAGAAACAGCCTTGGAAAAAATTCTTGAAAACCTTCACGTCACTAGTTGCGAAAGCATCAGAGCCAAAGCATTCTATCGTCCTTTCAAACCAAAATCCTTTCTGAGAAGCCGAACACAAAAGCTTATGGCCTTGAGGGACCAGACATGGCGCGTTTACAATAACAATCCAAGCGCAAAAATATTAAACAGCCTATGTATCTCAGCACAACTACTCTGTGCAGTTGGTTCTTGAGGAAACAGTAACGCACCAGCAGGAGCTAGCGAAACGATTCTGTCTGGACCAAAAGGTTCTTTACAAACATGTCAATAGACTTCGTAAGATGTAGCGTTGAATTCCACCACTCACTACGGTTGATAGATATACAGCTTCTCATTGTCATCATCATCAATCATTATCATCATCAGCAACAGCAGCAGTAAATCAACCATTTGAACTGATGCTTCGCCGCTATACAACCATAACTACCTACGGCACAAAGAATAACCAAATGGAGAGAAGGGGATATAGCGTAAAACCTTAATACCCATTCGAAACATTCAGGGTCTGGGCGAATAGACCTTGTTAACAATATACCGTCACAAACATTTTGCTATCGTGCAAAGATAAGGCAATATCAGCGAGACAGCAGTCTTGCGGTTTTCACCGTTTCGCGTCACAATCAGCCATAACACCCCAGATAACTCAGCACCAAACGCATTAAATAGGCAGTCCGACTAGCAGAGGGTAGCAGACGCGCCACTGGTGTCGGTTGCGAGCCATGTCCTGTAAAGTCTCGAGCCAAGCAAAAGGCGAATCACGTGGACTCCAACTCGGAAGGCGAGACGGGCCGATAGCACCGAGTTTGGTCGTCAGTGACTTCATTTCTCACTGTCAAATCAACTTCTCTCCACCTCAAGCCTTGCGCCACTCTACACCTGGCAGACTGAACAAGGCCCTCCTACGTAAGCGGTGACCAGGCATACGTAGCACGTGCCCGAGCCAACGCAAATTATTCAGTGCTATCTGTTGTTCTAGGCAGATAGCATGTTCAGCACTACCTAGTACTCCGCTACGCACATCATCGTTGCGGACACGCTGGTGCCATGAAACATCAGCAATGCTACGCAGACAACGATGACCAAAGACTTGAAGGCACCTCAGATCTTCAGACCGAAGGGGCCAAGTCTCACTACCATAGAGCTGAACGGCCCTCACTGTGGCCTTGTATACACGGTCTTTTAGACGGCGGGAAACTCCCTTCCGTCGCCAAAGATGCCACTGCTTCAGGAAGACAGTTCTGACTTTTGCAATGCATGTATTGACTTCAGTTGCTATACATTCATCGTTGCTGATGAAACGGCAAAGGAAGGTGAATTGATCAACTACGAGTTCGTCATCAAGGGTCAAGGAAGGGATTCATCAAATTGCTGGTGGTCCTGCAGCAACACTTTGCACTTTGAATGTGCTACACGTATGTCAACAAATAGGAGCATTCTAGGCAGGCTATTCAGTGTTGATTGCGCAGTCCCAACATTGTCAAAATG